CCCGACAAGATGAACAGGCCAGAACGGATCAAAAGCAGGCGTCAAACACATACTTCTTGTTCTTCAACGATTCAAAGACAAAAAAAATAAAAACCTGTAAGGGTAAGTCCAAAGCTTCCCGCTCGAACAGCTACACAGCTGTTACGATGGACATCCTTGCACTGAAACATATCTCAATCTCCCAATCCTGAAATAACTGCTTGGAGATACATATCAAATCCCAAATATCTTGCTCGGCTCAATCTCCCGGCCCTGAAATAATTGCCTGGAGATACACATCGGATCCCGGATATCTTGCCTGACATCTTGATTGGCATAACGCGTGGATTCTTCATCGGAACATATAAATACCCCTTAAGGGCCACGCCAAAAAGGTAATGGAAACCAACCCTAAGCTCCTTGTTTCTCCACTTCAAAGGTAACCTCGATTATTGCTGACTTAAGCATCGGAGTGTCTACCCCGAGGATCCACCTCGGGGCTTTGCAGGTCAATCTAGAGTGCAGATACGGATTGAAGAAGGACTTCCGATTTGGTGTAGTTACATTTTTGGCGCCGTCTGTGGGAATCTGAACAAAAGGTTCCTTTGTTGCTCTTATCATGGTAAAAACTAGGTCAGCCCGAGGCGGAAACTCGTCTCAGCCTCTTGGACGAGGTCAGGTCCCTAGCAATCTTCCACCTCATCCCCCACCCCCAATCCCAAACACATTCCCTCCTGTTGATCATGCAGAAGGAGAAGACGAAAATCAACCACACAATTCGGTTAGCCACTCAGCCTCTACTGCTAACCAAGACGTAGTTGCAACTCAGCTCGCTGCCATGCAACAGCAGTTTGGTGTCTTTCAACAAGTGCTGGCTCAGTTATTAGCCCGGAACAATCCTGGCGATCCACTCATCAACCTACTTAATCCTGTTCCACAACCTCCAGCCCCACCACAAAATCCTGAGCCAGTTCAACATGCTCCCGCTGTTAGTGAATCTCAGGGCCAATCTCACATTGCACCAGCTCAGCAACCCCTTCCTGATGATGTCACTCGACGTCTAGATAGCTTAGAAAAGCTAGTGGTTGAACAGCGAGGTGCCCCACCTCCACATCCTGCTGCCGACCCTGTCCCTCACCCTCTCAACACCAATATTGTACTGGAACCCTATCCGGCTGGCTTCAGAATACCACAGCTTGAAACTTATGATGGGACAAAGGATCCCGATGATCATCTACATGCTTTCTACTCTTGCATGCAAGCCCAGAACGCCTCTGATGCGTT